ATATTTTTTGTAAAAATGACCTTCATGAAAACATTACTCGAGTAGCCTTGGCTGTTGTCCTGTGACATATAAAAGGCGTGGTGAGAACATACGTAATTATGAATATATGATAAGAATTATATGGATATGTTATACGGTCATCATTATCACCCCAACTACTATTACTGTTAGTAGTAGCAGTAGTGAACTTTCATTTCATGTGAGGCATTACCTTAAGATCATTTACACATTACATCTCTAGATGTCTAATTGAACATAAGCACTGATCATTTTCACATAACCTTTTATTCCATGTCTACAGATCTCGATGGCTCTGGCCCTGGTGGTGGCCCTGGCATGCCTGGTGAGCTGGACCAGCGCCATGCCTGAGCCTGACCCCGTAGCTGACCCTGACCCCGCGGCTGACCCTGGCTACCGTCGCTTCGGTGGATTGGGATATGGTGGATACGGCTTGGGTGGACTTGGATACGGCTACGGAGGTCGTGGCTACGGATACGGGGGCTACGGCTACGGAGGATACCGCAGAAGCTATTACGGATAAGGATATCCTACTTACTGCTCTTCACGAGAACATTCAAAGCAACTCTACATAATCTTCACTTTCTGTTTTTCTTCTCAAATAAACTTCATGAATCAATGTTTATAACTATTATGACCCTCGATAGTGCAAGAGCATTTTTATATAAACATATGAATAGGAATCAAACATAATTAGATTGTTTTTAAGAAAATGTTAAAATATCAGTCATCATGATTTTTTCCATGATATTGACTCTTAAAATTATGGATATAAGTGTTTCAGCCCTTCTGACTGTATATAGAGAACTAGATTGTGTGCATGTGCATATACATATATACATGGATATACATGTGTATATATTGACATTATATATAAATGTATGTTCGTAGATATATATATATACATATATATGCGTATGTGTGTGCAGTTATATAGTTGTAGATTTTTCATTTTGTATATGCATACATACACATAAATGTGACCTATATGTGCGTACACATATATGTCACATGATGTATACATGAACATTACATACATATACACTTACACATAAACAACCGCACACAAATATACACGTCTATCAGTCTTTCTATTTACATCTAAATCTACCCATACATATACACATATATATGTATATGCTCATTTACTTATACGAATATGAATGATTGCCTTGTTTTATGCTTGATTATTATCTGCCATTTTCGCCGTCTATATATATAGAAAGATTCCCTGAAAGTTGCATGACCTGAAGATGAAATTTGGCTTTTTCATATGTTAAATCTTATTCCGTTGACGTAGTTCTCGTATACATGTAGCCAGAGCGCGCGCACACACATCCACACAAACAAATGTGCGTAAACGGTCATACATACACAAGTACCTAAATATAAACACACATATACATGTGCGTGGGTGGGTGTATATATATGTATATATAGAGAGAGAAAGTGAAGGATTGCACCCGTTTTGACAGAGGTGTATCTGCTCCAGTATGCCAAAACGAATGAATGACCCTACATGCACTCTGTTGTCTCCACAGATCATAGATCACCCACATAATTCCTTACATGAAGTTCGTATGTAAATCGATTCTTCATTCTACTATATTAAGGCATTCATGTTTCTGCACGAGAACAAAGCATCATTCTGAAAAACTTTCCATGGCAACAAAAATTTTAGTACACTGAGCGAAGTCTCGAGACACTCTGATGATCCTCATTTCTGAATAGAAACACAGATACACAACTTGTATACACAAATATATACATGTGTGTCTATTCATCCATATATGTAAATATATGAATATATAAGTGTTTGCGTATATAGATACTGGATTTCATAACAAATTAAATAATAGGAAAGTTTCTGTGGAACCGTTTTGTAGATGATTTTCTATTATCTTATTAACACTGCAGAATATTTATTCATTCGGTATTAATATCTGCGTGAGCTTTTTTCTCTATCATAATATAGATATGTATATGTATATATATATATATATATATATATATATATATATATATATATATATATATATATATATATATATATATACGTATACAATCATACATAGAGTGTATATACAGATAAATGTGTATACATACATAAGCTGAAAATATGTATTAAATATAGTATATATATATATATATATATGTGTGTGTGTGTGTGTGTGTGTGTGTGTGTGTGTGTGTGTGTGTGTGATATTGATGTATTATGTATAGTGTATAATATATATGATATATATTACATATATGTATATAAACATATATATGTATGTGTGTGTGCGTGAATACACACATATATATACTATATGTACATGTGCGATATATCTATACATGTATGTATGAAAGTGTCTTAAACAATTAAGTAACTGATGGGGAAATGTAAAAGAAGTTTTAACATTAATATTCATCATATCATAAGCAAGGATTCTAAGCTTGATCAAATGAAAAAGAGAAATGTATATTGAAGCATATATATATACCTTTATTCTCCTGTTGTTCTTTACTTCTCATCTGTCACTCAGCTTTTTCCTCGGTTGACTACAATTTAGCCTTGGGTTTTATAGATCATTAAGTTTGCACATTAGAACATTTCTTGTCTGTCCTTAGCGTGTGACAATAATTTTCTTAACATTTGCCTCATCCCTTAATATATTTTCAGTACATCTAAATACATTTCGAAATTATTCCAAAGCATTTAGGAAAGACTTTGCATTAGAAACCTTCATAGTGCTTATACTTCTCATGTTCTGCATTTTTTTTTTTTTTCTTTTCTTGTTACGTTTAAGTGATTCATTTTACCGTTGTCTAAACTCGTCTCACAAATCACAATTACTTGAAGTAAATTCACACAGATGTAAGAAGAATGCGACTCATATGAAATGCGTAAGGTTAATTAAATAACATAAGCTATGAAGTCATGTGTATCTTTATGTAGCACGCAAAAATATTCTTTAAAGATATCTCTCTAGTTCATGTTACGTATAAGTGATTCAATTAACCGTTTAAGCTAATCCCATAGGTCACAATTTCTTGAAGTAATCCTCGCAGTTATGAATAGAAAGGTACGCTTAAGCAAATGAAATATGCAAATTTAGATTAACATATGAAGTTGGATTTGCTCATTCTGTGGTCCGTCGTATATATTGCGTGAAAGAGATTTACACGATCACTCACTATAATGCTTTTTACTTATTAAACCGCCATACACACTAGTTTATATCGGGTGATTTATTTTATACACAATTTACGAAGGTGACATGAAAATAAAATTGTAATTTGTACTCATTTCACCACATGCGTACATACACATCGCATATTCACACATATATGCGTGTACGTGGTTGTATATAAGCAGATGAATACATAGGCATATGTACATACATTCTGTAAGTATCCTATGTATCATATTGGATCAATATTGATTTACAGATAAGTAAAATTAATAACTACCTGAACCTATATGCAGCATTTATAAGTAAAAATCGTACTGTGCTTATATTGACTTTTATCCTTATTTTGGATAAGCTAAAAATGCAGTGATGTTTGCCTTTCCATTTGTAAATATATATCTGGATTAATGTGAGTATATAGAGGTACGTATTAACATGTATAATTTTGTTTGAAATCGAGTTTGTGTGTGTTTGTGTATGGGTGTGTCCGTAGCTGTGTTTATAAATATATTAGATATTTTTGTACATAATTTCCTTCTGGGAAGCATTGCGAATAGCCTTGACTCTTGTCCTGTGCCCTATATAAGGCGTTTCTCTTTGCGGTAGACGCATAGTCTCCGCTGAGTTCGCAGTAAGAACATATTCTCAACATGAAGCTGGTGAGTACATACGTAATTATGAATATATGGTAAGAATCATAAAGTTATTACGATTATCACCACAGCTACTATTATTATTGGTAGTAGTACAGATAATAGTATTTATCTTTAGACATTACCTGAGATCATATCATATATTCTAATGAAAAATGCACTGATCAATTCTTGCATATAACTATTTTATGTCTACAGATCTCGATGGCTCTGGCCCTGGTGGTGGCCCTGGCATGCCTGGTGAGCTGGACCAGCGCCATGCCTGAGCCTGACCCCGTGGCTGACCCTGATCCTGGCTACCGACGTTATGGTGGGTATGGTGGATATGGTGGATACGGCTACGGAGGTGGATATGGAGGATACGGGGGCTACGGATACGGAGGATACCACCGAAGCTATTACGGATAAAGATATCCTACTTACCACTCTTCACGAAAACATCCGAAGCAACACTACAAAATCTTCACTTCCTGTTTTTCTTCTCAAATAAACTTCATGAATCAATATTTAGAACTATGACGACCCTCGATAGTGCAAAAGCTTTTTATGTAAAACATTAAACATGCATCAAACATTTAGATTGTTTTTAAGATAATGTAATATATATAATATATATATATATATATATATATATATATATATATATATCAGTCATCATGACTTTTAACATGATCTAGAAATTAATATGAAAATTATAGATTTGAGTGTTTCACCTTCGTCAGCCCTTCCGATGGCATAAAGAGAGCTAAATAGATGTGTGTATATATATATATATATATATATATATATATATATATATATATATATTTGTTCGTAGATAAATATATATTTACATAAATATAACTGCGTGTGTGTACAGGTATATACAGCTGTAGATTTTTCATGTACATGAATATTACATACATATATACTTACACATAAACAACCACACTTTCACAAACATACATATATATCAGTCTATATCTAAATATCTACTTATACATATACCTATTTGTATGCTCATATACATATATGAATATTTAAGTTTCCTTGTTTTATGCTTCTTGTCTATCATTTTTCGCCGCCTAAAGAAATAGAAAGATTCCCTGCAAGTTGCATGACTTGAAGATGAAATTTGGCTTTTTCATATGTTCAATTTTATTCCGTTGACATAGTTCTCGTATGCATGTAGCCGAGGTACATTCAATATGATAATAATAAATAATAATAATAATAATATAATAATAAATAATAAAATATAACGGTCACATATATAATACATATATGTGTGCATATATATATATATAATATATATATATATATATATATATATATATATATAATATATAAATATATATACTTGAAATCTGGATTTCAAAACACATAAAATTAGGGAAAGTCTCCATGGAGCTGTTTTCATGCAGGTGGTTTCCAGTTATCTTATTAACATTGCAAAGTATTTGTTTATTCGCATTAATATCTGCGCGGGATTTTCTGTATCACAACATATATATATATATATATATATATATATATATATATATATATATATATATATATATATATATATACATATATATACGTATACACACTTACATATAAGTGAATGTATATTCAGATATATCTTTATTAATACATAAACTGAAAATACGTATTGAATACAGTATAAATATGTGTATATATGTATATAAGTTACAAATATTTACATATATATATATATATATATATTATATATATATATATATATATATATGTATATGCATGTAATTTATATATATATATATATAATATATATATATATAATATATATATATATATATATATATATATATATATATATATGTATATGTATGTATGTATACTGATATATTTACATATATGTATATATTTACTATATATACATATAAATGCTCTATATCTCTGCTGTATTTATACATAAAATTTGCATATACAAATTATAAACAGTTTTAAGTAACTGATGGGAAATGTAAAAGAAGTTTTTACATTAAGATTCATCATATGCAAGGATTCCAAGATTTATCAAATGAAAAAAAAAATATATATGATATATATATACTTTCTTTTTTCCTACTGTTCCTGTACATTCTCATCTGTCACTCTCTGGTTTCCTCGGTTGACTACAACATTGTAGCCTTGGGTTTTATAGATCATTAAGTTTGCACATTAGAACACATTTCTTGTCTCTCCTTTGCGTGTGATAATTTTCTTAACAATTGCCTCATTCTCAAATATCTTTTCAGTGTCTAAGTACATTTCGAAAATATTTTTAAACGTTCAGGAAAGATTTAGCATTAGAAACATTCATATTCCTTTTCTTCCGATGTTCTGCAAAAGAATCTTTTTTCTGTGTTAGGTTCAAGTGATTCAATTTACCGGTCTAAACTTTGTCTTACAACTTTAAGTAAATTCACGCAGATGTAAGAAGAATGCTACTCGTATGAAATGCACAAGTCTTAATTAAATAAGCTATGAAGTCATGAGTGTGTTTACGTAGCACACAAAAATATTCAAAGATAGCTCTCTGTTTCACGTTACGCTTAAGAGATTCAGTTGACCGATGCTTAGGCTCATCCCATAGAACACAACTGAAGTAATTCTCGTAGTTATAAATAAAAAGGTATTCATATGAAATATACAAAATTAAATAACATCATATATGAGGTTACATTTAGTCATGCTATGGTCACTCGTATATATTGCGTGAAAGAAATTTATGCGATCACTCACTAGAATACTTCTTTTCTACTAAACCACCATACGCGCTGGTTTATATCTGATGATTTATCACCATTGGTGACATGAAAATAAAATGGTAATTTACACTCATTTGAACACATACGTGCATAAACACATATATTCACATATATGCTTGCGTGTGCTGTATGCGTGCAGACAGATACATTGTCTTATAAACATTGACATATGAGGCCGAGTGTTTGTGTGTGTGTGCGTGTCCGCAGCTGTATTTATAGATATCTTAGATATTTTTGTAAAAATGACCTTCACGAAAACATTACTCGAGTAGCCTTGGCTGTTGTCCTGTGACATATAAAAGGCGTGACTTATAGCTTGTAGACGCATAGCCTTCGCTGAGTCCACTGCAAGAACATTCTCTCAACATGAAGCTGGTGAGAACATACGTAATTATGAATATATGATAAGAATCATATGGATATGTTATACGGTCATCATTATCACCCCAACTACTATTACTGTTAGTAGTAGCAGTAGTGATCTTTCATTTCATGTGAGGCATTACCCCAAGATCATTTACAAATTACATCTATAGATGTCTAATTTAAAAAATGCAATTATCATTTTCACATAACCTTTTATTCCATGTCTACAGATCTCGATGGCTCTGGCCCTGGTGGTGGCCCTGGCATGCCTGGTGAGCTGGACCAGCGCCATGCCTCAGCCTGACCCCGTAGCTGACCCTGACCCCGCGGCTGACCCTGGCTACCGTCGCTTCGGTGGATTGGGATATGGTGGATACGGCTACGGAGGTCGTGGATTCGGATACGGGGGCTACGGCTACGGAGGACACCGCCGAAGCTATTACGGATAAGGATATCCTACTTGAAGAGAACATCCAAAGCAGCACTACAAGATCTTCACCTGTTTTTCTTCTCAAATAAACTTCATGAATGATTTTTAGGACTATTATCATCCTCGATAGAGCAAAAGCATTTATATATGAATATAAACATGTATCAAACATAATTAGACTGTTTTTAAGAAAATGGAAAAGTATCAGTCATGAATTTTTCCATGAAATAGATTGCATGCATGTGCATATACATATATATGTATATACGTGTGTACCTATTGACACTGTATACATATGTTCGTACATATATATACATATATATCTGCGTGTGTATGCACAGATATATAGTTGTAGATTTTTCATTTTGTATATGCATATAATACAGGTGCGTACATATATGCATGATAAATAAATATTACATACATATATACTTACTCATAAAAACACACTCGTAAACATACATGTCTATCAGTCTATCTATCTACATCTACATCTATCTGTACATATACACACGTATATACTCATACATATGCGAATATGTTTATTGCCTAGTTTTATTTTCGCCGTCCAAAGAGTTGGGAAGATTCCTTGAAAGTTGCATGACATGAAAATGAAATTTGGCTCCTTCATTTGTTCAGTCTTATTCCGTTGACGTAGTTCTCGTATACATGTAGTCAGAGCGCCTAATAAAATGTGCGTGAACGGTCACATATACACAAGCACCTAAGTATAAACACATACACATATATATGTTCGTGTGCCTGTGTATAAATATGTGGGTACATATATACAGGGAGAGAAGGATCGCTTTTTGAAAGGGGTATATGCCCCAGTATGCCAAAACGAATGAATGATCCTACCCGCAGATTCCTACACGGTCTCCTTTGTCCTACATAACTGCTTACATTACATTCGGATATAAAACGATTCGACATTCTACTAAATTAAGGCATTCATGTTTCTGCACGAGAACAAAGCATCATTCCGAATAACTTTCCATAGCAACAAAAATGTTAGTATTCTAAGCGAAGTCTCGAGACACTGAAGTTCTTTTAAAATACATTATATGGATATATGGACCTGAGATTATCCTCATTTGTGAATACAAGCACACAGATACACAATTTCTGTACATAAATATATCCATGTGTGTATTTATACATATATATGACTACATAAGTGTGTGCGTATATATATATACTTAAAAGTCAACCTGGATTTCATAACACATGAAATTAGGGAAATTAGGGAGTATTTATTCATTCGGCATTAATATCTGCGCGTGTTTTCTCTCTCTCTCTCTCTCTCTCTCTCTCTCTCTCTCTCTCTCTCTCTCTCTCTCTCTCTCTCTCACACACACACACACACACACACACACACACACACACACACACACACACACATAGATATATATGTGTGTGTGCATATATATAACATATACGTACAAACCTATAAGCTTATGTGTCTGTGTACAGATAAATGTGTATACATATATAAACCGAAATATATTAAATATAGTATATATATATATATATATATATATATATATATATATATATATGTGTGTGGTGTGTGTGTGTGTGTGTGTGTGTGTGTGTTGTGTGTGTGTGTTGTGTGTGTGTGAGATATATAATTACATATATGTATATAATATATATATGTATGTATATATATGGTATATATTACATTTGTGTATATTTACATATATATATTATAGGTATATATATGCATATATTTGTGAGTCTATATTATAGATATATATATATGCATATATATATAGATATACATATATGCTATATATTTGCTGTATATATACAAATGAATTGCATGTATGAAAGTGTCACATACAGATTTAACTAACTGATAGGGAAATGTAATAGAAGTTTTCACAATAAATCAAATCACATCTATTTCACATTACGTATAATTGATTCAATTAACCAATGTTTAAGCTCACCACATAGATCACAATTACTTGAAGTAATACTCGCAGTTATAAATAGAAAGGTACGCTTATGAAATAATGTAACACATGAATTTACATTTAGTCTTGCTGTGGCCAATCGTATATATTGCATGAAATAAATTTAAACGATCACTCACTGGAATACTCTCTCACCTACTAAACCACCATACACGCTGGTTTATATCGGATGATTTATTTCATACACAAAATAAAATGGTAATTTGCACTCATTTGAATACATATATGTGCATAAACACACGCATATTCACATATATGAGTTTATGTGTTGTATATGTGCAGATAGATACACTGGCATATAAACATACGTTATGTATCATATGTATCCTATTGAATCTATATTGATTTATAGAAACGGAAAATTAATAACTACCTGAATCTATTTGCGGCTTTTAAGTAAAAAGAAAATGGTAGTCGTGTATTTACATTTACTTTTTACTTATTGTGGATATGATGTAAATGCATTGATGTTTGTCTTTGCAAGTGAACATGTTTATCTGTATTTATGCATGTGTACGTATCAATGTATGATTTTTGAAGTCGAGTGTTTGTATGTGTGTGTGTGTTTGTGTATGGGTGTGTTCGCAGTTGTGTTTATAGATAGATATTTTTGTTTAAAATGACCTTCATGAAAACGCTACGCGAGTAGCCTTGGCTGTTGTCCTGTGGCATATATAAGGCGTGACTCCTTGCTGTCGACGCATAATCTTCGCTGAGTTCACAACAAGAACATACTCTCAACATGAAGCTGGTGAGTACCTACGTAATTATAACTATATGATAAGAATCATATGGATATATTTTACGTTCATTATTATCACCACAACTATTACTATTACTAGTGGTAGTACTTGTGACAGCAGTAGTAATCTTTAATTTCATGTGAAGCATTACCTAAGATTATTTACAAATTACATCTACAGATATCTGATGAAAAAATGCACTGATCATTTTCACATAACCCTTTATTCCATGACTACAGATCTCGATGGCTCTGGCCCTGGTGGTGGCCCTGGCATGCCTGGTGAGCTGGACCAGCGCCATGCCTCAGCCTGACCCCGCGGGCTGACCTGGCTACCGTCGCTTCGGTGGATTGGGATATGGTGGATACGGCTACGGAGGTCATGGGTTCGGATACGGGGGCTACGGCTACGGAGGACACCGCCGAAGCTATTACGGATAAGGATATCCTACTTTCCGCTCTTCACGAAAACATCCAAAGCAGCACTACAAAATCTTTACTTCCTGCTTTGCTTCTCAAATAAACTTAATGAATCAATGTTTAGAACTATTATGATCCTCGATAGCGTACAAATATTTTTTTTTAAATATGAATATGTTAAAAGAAAAATAGTGTTTTAAGAAAATGTAAATATATTCATCATGAATTTTATTTTGATCTAGAATTCATAATAAAATCATGTTTTTAGTGTGCTTCACCTCCGTTAGCCTTTCTGATTGCATATAGAGAGCTGAATATATTAGTTGACTGTGTGTATGTACGTACAGACATTATGTATATATATGTGTTCGTATATATATGCATATACATGCTTATATGTGTGTACAGATGTATAAATTTGTATGTTTCAATTTGTGAATTCATATATGTCATATGTTTTTTTTTTTTTTTTTTTTTTTTTTTTTTTACCCACAAATAACCACGCACTCACAAACATATGCGTCTATTAGTATATCTACATCTCTCTCTCTCTCTCTCTCTCTCTCTCTCTATATATATATATATATATATATATATATATATATATATATATATGCTTATATACTCAAATATATATATATACGAATATGCATGCTTGCCTTGTTTTACGTTCAATCATTATTTGCCATTTTCACCGTCTAAAGAAATGGAAAGTTTTCCTGAAAGCTGCAGAAATTGAAGATGAATTTGGCTTGTTCATATATTCAATTTTGTTTCACTTGCGTAGCTCTCGTATACAAGCAGTCAGAGCCCACACTTAAAAATGTGCGTAAACGGTCACACATACGCACACACACATACCCCTTAATACACACACATACGCATATATACATATATCGGAAACTTTTTGACAGAACTGTATATGCTCTAGTATGCCAGAATAAATGAATGATCCTACAAACACTCACAAAAACATTTGCCTTGTCTTTTTTCAGAAACTTACTGAACAAATTAAGGCATTCATGTTTATAAGGGAGAACAAGGCATCATTATGAATAACTTTCCATGTTAACACAACAAAAAAAAAAAAATAAAAAAATTGTATGCCGAGTAAAGTCTCGTGGCACTGATTTTTTTTTTTCTAAAATAAATTACAAAAATATATAAGGATAAACGCATACCCATACACAATCTGTATAAATATCTATATATATACAAATATATACATGCGTATTTGTACATATTGTATATGTGTATGTGTACTTAAGATTTAATAAAATACCTGGATTTCATCACACGTGTAATCTGGGAAGACTACTAAGGAACTGCGTTTGTGCAGTTATTTTCCTGTCATTTTATTAGCATGGCTGTGCATTTATTCATTCAGCATTTATATCCGTCAATATCTATCTACGTGTTTTTCTCTCATTATGAATATGCGTACACATGTATAAATACATGCAAATGTGTATATATATACATTTATGTATATATACATGTATATTAAATCTTGTGCATGTATCTGTACATGCAAACACACAAAGACACACAAACATCAAATTATAACGAAGGATTCAAAAATTCATAAAATAAAAAAGATATATATAAGCATCTATATATATAGATAGATAGATAGATAGATATAGATATAGATATACATAGATAGATAGATAATTTAAATATAAATTGTCTACTACTCCTATATCTTCTGTCACACTCTGGCTTTCTTGGTTACTTATTAACAGCTTTGGGGTGTTATAGAAATCATGAAGTTTTGCACATCAAAACTCATTTCTTGTCTTTCCTTCGACAAATGTTTGTTTTTTTGGCAGTAATTCCCTTCGGAATTGCCTCATTCCTTATCGTCTTTTCAGTGCATTTAGATACATTTAGAAAACATTTCAAAGCATTTGGAAAAAAAATAGTACAGAAACTTTCACAATGCATGTACTTCCGA